CCGGGCACGGGGTCGTTTGGGGGCTCAGGAGGGGATGTGGGCAGGAAAACACCCTGCTTTCCTGTCCCTGCCGTGCTGTGTCCTCCTACGGCTCCACAGGCTGGGACCCAAGGGACGTCTGCCGTGGCAGCGGTGGGCAAGATGCCTTCTCAAACCCCATTTCTCATAATTTTTCTCTGCCTTTTTGGTGGAGGAAATTATCTTGCTGCTAAAAGCACTGCGGGGCACTGCCCATGCCCGGCGGGAGCTGATCTGGCCACAGGGCCCAGAGTTGTTCCGCACTGTAGGCAAGGGCTTCAGCCGTGACAGAGAGGGTCACAGTGCCCTTCGGTCCCAAGCAGGGCTCGGGATCGGGGTGGGTGTACACGGGCCAGGCTTGGCCATCCTGCCGCCATCCCATTCCAGGGGAACAAGGGCTGCATGGCAGAGCTGCGGCCACCCACCCTGCAAGCCATGGGAATTGGGAGGACAATAAACTTTCACTGCACCTTTTTCTGGGAAAGGGCTGGTTTGTGGTCTGTACCATCATATCTGGCCCGTGGACATCTCCCACCTGTGTCACCAGCTGTCCCAAGAGCTCCTCTGGGGCCTTGTCCTCCCTGAGCAGCAGCAGTGTCAGGGATGGAGGGGCTCTCCTTGCCCCACAGACCCCCACGCAAGTGCCGCTCACACCGGGCATGGAAGAGCAGCAGCAGAGCAGCCCTGCCCAGGGGCTGGCACTCGCCCAGCACACCAAGCCCGGGAAACCCAGGGGAGTGGCAGCTGGGATTTTACAGACACCACGCGATCAATTTGTGGGTGTTGGGAAGGTGGAAGCTGTGGGATTTTGCCCTTGGATAGCGGGCTGAGGCACGCTGAGCTGTTTGTGAACCAGCATCTGTGTGCCACCACCAGTGGGCTCCATCCTGGGTGATGCTTTAAAATACACCCCAATCACTCACCCCATCCATTCCCAGTCCATTCCCTTCTGACAAGGAAAAGACTGAAACAGGAACCCTCCCCGCTGGTGCAGTGCCCTGGGGCTGGCCATCCCCAGACCACGGCGCTGGGCTGCTGCCAGCGTGGACACAGCCCCACTGCCTCCCCTCCAGCCTCACCAACGTCCCGGGATCAGATTTGGGCTTTTTTGCAGGGCTATAACCCCACGCTCCCCCTGGGCATCGCCTGCTTCAGGGGTCCAGAAGACTCTGCAACCAACCAGCCCTCCCCAAACCCCACAGGGAAGTGACAGGGAGTGGCTAATGTGATAAAATCTTACCTTAAAAGCTGCTTTTTAATTCCTCCTGCCGTTGCTTTATGCATAATTGCACCTTCTGGCTTTTTTTCTGAGCACGGATGAGCGGTCGGCAGAGCCTGGTGCCTGCCCTCCTTCCCACGGGTGGCTGTCCCAGCTCACAGCTATTGAACGCTTTCCTTTATGAGCTTCATCTATTTCAAAAGCGCCCTCTCAGCGTCCTCAGCCCCCGTGGCCTGAGATTTCTCTTTTGTTTTGCTTCCTGTATGGATTTTCTACAGTCTCTAACTGCTAATTCACTATCACTGACTTCTGCTTTTTCTGTTTGTTTATGCAGAGCTGCGCAGATGCCCTTGTACATGCACACGCACACACACACCCTGCCGCTGCCCTTCCGCTCTGCACCGGGCTCGATTTTTAACCATTGCTGCTTTCTTCTGCTGTAAAAGCCTTAATCAGCTTCCAACTGTCCTTCCCACATCTCTTTTCAACTCCTGCACTCTGGCCTGCTTTGTTTTCAGGACGCGTGGGGTGGTTTGCAAGTGGCACGTCTGCATTTCCCTGGGTGGGAGGTGATCAGCTGCGGGTGACCTCTGCCATCCCGCAGTGAGGTGAGGGTCCCCCCTCTCTGCCCGGAGGGGGCCCCCAGACCCCTGACATCTGGAAATGCTTGGCTATGGGGGTCTGTGCTGAGCTGGCAATTCCCACCCCCAAAATCTCAGCCTGGCTTTGATGTGCCCTTTCAGAGGGCTGGGTGGTGATGGGCTGGATGGTGATGGGCAGGTTGGTGATGGGCAGGGTGGTGATAGACTGGGTGGGATGGACTGCGTGGTGATGGAGGGGGTGCCCCACGGGCTGGCTGCCCCACGCAGCCTCGCCGAGCCCGGCTCGCCCCGCCGCGCTGCCCGCAGCCGTCCCTGGGCTCCCGCTGCCCTCTCCCGGGCACCCGCCGCACTGCACGCCGCCTCCGGCGCGGGGAGGGACGGCGGGGACGGGGAGCCGAGGCAGAGCAGCCCCACCCGGTGCCCGACCCCCCGCCTGGAGGCCTGCGTGGGCCGGTGAATCTCGCGTGGGCCCGGAGCAGGACAGGGGTGCCCGCACCCCGAACTGCGCCGTGGAGGGTCACGCCAGCGCCACACCGGGCGTTCTGGGACGGTCCCAACTTGTTCGCCTTAAACCCCGGGACACAGCTTCTGCGGCCATTTGGGATCCCTGGGGACCGTTTGCTACTGGTCACGATGGAGACCCGCACCCCTTCTCTGTGTGCCAGCTGGGGACTACCAGCAGCCCCTCGGTACACCCCCCCCCCAGCACCCCCAGATTTCCAGGAGGGCCCCGCTGAGCCAGCACTGGTGGTGACTCAAAGCTCCCCAGCTCACCTCGCTGAGCCGTCGAGCACCCGCCGCTGCGTAACCGCGCTGCCAAGTCACCAGTCATGGGAGCAGAAGGAAGCGGAGGCCAAGGGCAGCCCACGTCCCAAATGGCGCCCGGCAGCCCCTTGCCTCGTTTCAGACCCTTTTCCTCTCCGTTTTCTCTGCCATCAAGCCAGCTCGGCATGGGAATTCATTTTTCCCACCTTTCCCAGCAAGGCCTGGCAGGGGAAACTGAGGCACGGGCTGTGGGCTCCTTGCCGTGAGGGGACAACAGGGAAAATATCATGGGGCCACCCAGAAGGGGAAGTGCTGGAGCCTGTGTAGCGACATGCAACCATCCCAAGAGACATCCAAGGGAAGGAAAAACTCAAGGGGAATTTTACTGGTGGTTTTTGAGGAATTGGGGTGATTCTCCAATGCAGTTTTGGAAGGGCTCCCCAGGAAGCGGCTGTGGTGGAGGAACAACCTCCGCTAAAGCAGCTGCTGAAGCCACAAGAAGCAGCCGGGGTTTTGAAGTCCCAGCAAAGGAAGGCAGAGCCAGGTGCATGGCTGGCTTTTTTCAATTACCCCAGCTGGTCTAATAAAGCTATTGCTTCTCCCCATGGTCCTTCCCCCTCCTAATCTTGCCGTGTGAAAGGGCACCTCTCAGCAAGGCAGGGAGATAAGCGGTGCAGAAAGACACGAGATTTCCCACCAGCAGCCTTGAACAGAGCCACGCCGCTCAGGAGGGAAGATAAAGCCCAGATGGCTTTAGTGCTGGTTTAAATTCCTTTTTATAGTCTGAAAGAGAAAGTCTGCAAGTGATAGGGAAAACCCTCAGTGAAATGAAAACCACTGCCATGAGCAGAAGATTGCAAAGCCCCGAGCAGCTGTGTAGGGTGGTGGGGGCACCTATGGGGGGGGGAGTGGTGAGGACCATGACCTGTGGGCAGTGGCGGTTGCAGCAGAGGTCACCGATGGCAGGATTTCTTAGTTGGGGGCCTGCAAAATGAGCACCAACGCCTCATTTGCTAAAATTTATGCATTGCTGTGCAGCCAAGCGGGGAACGAAGAAACTGGAGGAAAGGGACAGTGCTAAGGAGAGCAAATCCTTGATGCTGGTATTTATTGGGACATGGTGAGAACAGCAGCACTGCCGAGGTAGGTGGTCCTCGGGCTGGTGACACTTTCAGCGTGGAAGGCCAACCAGGAGCAGAAGTTAGCCTGGATGCTTCTCCCAGCCAAAAGGTTTATGGTTGCCCTGGGACATGGGTACCGGCAGCAGGAAATCCAGCCGCGGCCCCAGTGCTCAGCACCACTGGACCTGCTCACCCCTGGCCCGGATGCGGCAAGTGCTGGCCACTGCACCAAGAGCGCATCAGTGACTCGAGTGCCGTGCAGCTTCCGTGGTCAGGAAGGATTGAGGGGGCCGCGATCTCTGCCCACGCGATTGCACAACAGCCGGCAGCTCCAGCGCCTGGCTAACGGCTTGTCACCCCCTGCTTTCTAGCTCCTTGTACCAGTCGTCACCTTCCCCCAGACACCCATCCGGGCCACTCAGCTCCTGCCTCAGCTCCGTCTTTCCCTCTGACCTAAGGCAGAGACCCTTTCCCCAGCTGCTTTGGCCCAGCCTCTCCCAAGGACATGGCTGAAAGCCCAGGAGAGCAGCCAGGACTTGCAGCATGGTCCCTTGCAGCATCTCCCACCCATGCAGGACCAAACTCTGCCCTGCCGCCTTCATCTCCAGCCCTCCCTGCTGGGCTTGTACCGTCCACCCCATCCATCGACCGCTGCCTGTTCCCTACCAGATGCTCCTGGGCACCCACCCTCTGCCCCAACAGCCTGACTCAAAAATTCAATGTTGTGCAGCCGCTTTCAGCACCAAGCTCCCGGGTTTCCCACCCGTGCGTACATCCATGCGTGTGTCCGTGTGTACATCCACGCCTACATCCACGCATACGCCCACACACGCAGGCATGCATACATCCACGCACACATCCATGCATACATTCACGGACGTGCGTGTCCCCCTGCGCTCCCCGGATCCGCCCTCCCATCTCTCCCCGAGGGCTCGGGCCGAACCAGGACCTCCCAGCACCGGGGCCGAGCTCCGGAGCGGTTTCTCAGCCAGGCGAAGGGCCCTCCCAAACCTCCCC